TTTAGTCCTCCCTCTGGCATTAGAAACTACGCTGCTGTCCAGTACGAAAATCCCGGCTTAGAACTCAGTTCGCTTAGAAATTAACCAAGTTGGCACTATCACGCCGCACCGTTAGTCCATGAAGCCACCCACTTAGCAACGGCCACCGTCGAGTTTCGAACCCGGGCTTACCGCGCGCGAGACCAGCGCGCTAATCATTCATCCAATGGATGTGCGGTTCCGATGGCCGAAAATTTGTGGTCAGAACAGGACTGGTGCAGAGTGAGTTGATGGATTTCGTGATCGTTTGATGCCTATCACGCATAAGAGCCGACTTTTCGCAAGAGATTCTGCATATTTGCACTTGCTTCCCTCTAAGACCGGCAATCCACGTATGCTTGACACGCACAACAACCTGAAAGATTTTTGGAGGGTGTATAACCCCGGTGCGTAGCCACCCTCCATTTTTGAGGGTGTATAAGCACGGTGCGTAACCACCCTCTGTTTCGGAGGGTGTATAAGCCCGGTGCGTAACCGCCCTCCGTTTTGGAATGTATACGCGCAGCCAAAATGAAAATAACTGGAAATAACTACAGTAACTGCTGAGGGTGTTTTTTATATGAAAAGACAATATTCAAACCTAACTGGTAAAAGAAAAAAGGCGATTCTGGGCGAAAACGCGCATCTGGTAACACACGCGCATTTGTCAATTGTAAAAACGGACTCAGCAACGGCTTCCATCTCGACAAAACAAGTCTTTGCGCAGTTAAACGTTCTTTCCTTATGCACTTGCAAAGCATCGCATGGGTGATTGAACAGCCATGAACCCAGAGAAGACTGTCTTCATGTCTCATTCATAACCAATTCAGGGGCGGGTAACGTCTCCGCAAAAAGAAGCATCTGCTGGGTGTTGAGCGTCAGACATCGTGTCAGGCGAACCCGTTGTGCACGACAGAATGACGGTAGGTTCTTATTGATAAATAACCATGGTTAAGACCCATGGTATTAACACACCGAAACTCAGACAGCGGTCTTTATTGGAAAGCGATCCCAGAGTGCATCGCCAGTGCCCACTATATCCATTTGTCAACCGCACCTTCACAAAACCAGCGGACCATATGAGGATCGGGACGCATATGTATACACCTTCTGACATAACTGCACCTGGATGACGTAATGCACGACTCGATGCATGTGATCATCAAAATGGCACTGAAAGTTACAAAATCCCGTAGAGCAAAATGGTGTCAGCATCCAATCAAAAACAGTTGGTGGCACTAATGCACGTTGGTATTGCATCTTACATCCGATCTACATCCTCTTTCCAACTTTGTCTGAGCATGATAACGAATTACTCAGCTCCAATGCCTCACAATTACTCATTCAGATCGGAATTCAAATGCCGTCAACGAAAGGCATACTGTTTCAATAACCTAGCGCAATACGCAACATCGCCGTTCTTCGAGAACTGGGTGTCAGGAGCGTCGCGCCACAAGTGCGACGAGTCGCATCATCTAGGAACCCATGCTCCTTTTCGTGGATTTCATGCTTCGAGCAGCTTTCGTACTCTTCCTGACTTAGCCTGGCGATACCGACGTTCAATTCCTTTATAACTGATCGGTAGGCTTCGAGAGAGGACGTAGCCTACGGGTTGTCCCCCAAGTATTGCTTATGCATTTTAGATACGGTGAGGTCTTGCGAAACGTAACGCCGGTTTACAGCTTTATCTCAAACTCACACGATGTATTCTCTAACTCCCAACCCCGCGTCTCCCAATCGCGCCCTCTCGACACACACTCGCTGACGCAGCACATCGTAGCCGCGTCGTCCACTGGCAGCTAACTACGTAAGACGACGCCACTAAATTGACGCCGTCCCTAACACTACTATGAAGAGCCGCAGGCTCGTATGACAGCACATGATCCTGGATTTTCTGTTTACCTGCCTTGTGCGAAGGAGTGTGGCGATCTGTCCCGTTCACTGGCGCAATTGCTCCTGCCACTTCCTGGCTTTCGAGCAGGGCAAACCGAAAAGGGGCGTCAGATCTGGCTTCCACGCCCAAAGTGTCGAGGAAGCATGCCTTGCACTCTTTTCCTGCTTCCGTCCTCTGCTGGTAAAAAACATTCCAAACTTCGCTGTCTGTGAGATTGCTCCCCGGTTGATTTGCATTTCGGTCGGTCGACGTGGGCACGATACCACTCCCTTCGAGTGCCGCCTGCTAAGCCCCTTACTGAAATGTTCATGCTATGCCTCTGCACATCACGTAAGTTTTGCGCGCAGACGTTGCTGCAACCATCAACGCATCCCGTGGGAACTGGGAGAATTGGATGCTTTTTTAAATAATCAGTTATCTTATCCGCCGTGCTGCGAGCACGCTTCTTTGTCGCTTTCTCAGTACCCTCCAGTGGCCGCAACGTCATGCACTGCTGTTCGTGAGGGCCGTGCGGTTCTGAGTCACTAACACTTTCTCCGTCATTCGTATGTGCTGGCTGAGCTTAATCGTGCTCTGCATGCTGCTCAGACTCTCCCGTCCCTCACAGCCTCGTCCTGGTAACGGCGCGTGCGAGTCCAGGAGTCGAAAAATGTCTCCTAAAGTGGACAGGGACCGGCTCGTAGCCGCAGAAGCCCTCTTTGTCAGTTGTCAGCTCGACAGTGTACGATTTAGACACAACGTAAGGTGAACAGCGACGTGGTGTGCTGTTCGGAGTACTCGTCACGGGAAATGCGCCCGATGAAAGACTGTCCAAGTCCACCAATCATCCAGACTAGTCAGCATCAGTGGCTCGCGAGTCGTCGACAAGGTTCCGGCGGAAATGCTTCTGTTTCTGATGGCCAGGTAGTCAAAAGGGGTTCGCTTCGCGGACGTGTTTGCTGGTAGAGCAGCACTGATATATAGCACTGCTGGCTCGGCACTGGGTGTCCGCCGAACGTACGCTTGTTGAACTGGGAGTTTGTGCTTGCTCACTCTCACTACTCACCGTTCCTTGCATTTAGGTCCGGATCACACACTGAGCTTCGTCCAGGTAGTGTGGCAACGGCAGCAGCCTCGCGACTTCAGAGCATCCAGCACCAAATGAGCATCCTTCCATGAATTTCACTGCGCCTTTCCCTCCACAGGCAACAAATTCATCTCCTTGGGTTTTAGGAGTTACTGACCTATCACTGAAGTCTCTGCCACAACAGCGTAGCCATCAGGTCCTATTAGACCAGGATAGCTTGTTCCATCACACATTTTTCGGAACCAGCTGGATGCTCCTTGTCATAGTTCTGTGATTGGCAGATCATCGTCTGATACACTTGAACAATACAGGACATTTTTAGCACTCGTACCAAGGCAAACATGGCAGAAACTAATTTCCAAACTACCCTTATAACATGTGAGATGCGTATTCCTTGGGAAAAAGCAGACAAGCAACACCCCTCCAAGTTATTCCAGCAACCTGAGATACTTCTGAACCGCAAATCCAACGACTAGGATTGATAGCCTGCCTCGACTTGGATATGGAGAATGCTCTTGTGAGAGACTGCCATGGCACATGGATACATGAGTAACCATGCACGTGCATCGTGCCCTTAGTTGTGTATGTGTGCTCACCTATGTGGGTCCGCGTGGGTCAATGACTGAGTGTTGTGGTGGGCGTGGTGGTGGTAGTGTGTGTGGAGGGGGGGGGGGGGGCAGTATGCATGCATGCACGCGCGTTTGTGTGTTAATGTATTAGCATGCATAATATGGCATTGAATGTGGATATCACCAATGCGAATGGGGCAGAGTTAAAAACCATGCGTTGGCGTCCCGATCGTGGCGTGTTGAGTTTACCACCCAGTCAACATTTTCGCAATGCATGACTTGGAGAAGCAGTAAGTGTGTTTGGCAGTGATAATACCACTCCGAGTCGAGTCACTCCCTACTAATAGCCGTTTTATGGGTGTTGGGTTAGGCCATAACGGCCGGAATCTTCACGTCCGAAGCAATGCTGCATTAAATGTGGCATTGTGGTGCGCTTGAATCAGTTACACGTTCTGGGGCGATTTTGGTCACCAGAAAAACATGGACATAATATTCCTATTTCCCACGCCATGCCGAGCGTGAGCAAGGCCATGCTGGAACGTTGCACACCTATTTTTCCGACCCATGCAAGCTTTACGGCTGCTTGTTGCTTGTGTTGTGCGGCATAAGTTCCGTCAGGGCTTTGTGCAATGGTATTCCAAGCCCGAGCCACAATATATGACCCAAAGATAAAACAAAGTGTGTGCATTTGTCCACCTTTCATGTTACGCTACAAACCACTGGCTACAGTAACACCAGCGTGTGGCAACGCTCATGACCTCTCCATTCATGCGGAACGACAATCTGACGAGTAGATACTACAGTGCCCCACAAAGGAATGACTACGGAAAACGAGTGCTAACGCTCCACATCATGCGGCTTCAGGCTTGGTTGCTTTCCAGCAACGGTTCCAGTCCATCTTCCGCTGCCGCACTTCATGCTCACTCTGCTTCCTGCCGCTATGGACTACGGCCCACTTAATTTTCCCAGTGAGACATAGCGTCATTGTCCTTGGGGACGATCATCCCACTTCACCCGTAGGTAACAAATTCCCCGAGTTTTCTTGAATCCATATCTTAACAGAGTAAACAAAAACGGGGCACTAATCGTCAGACACGCGTTACAGGTACATAACGCAGATCTGTGCTGACAAAATTTCCAGCAAATAACAGTAACCAGCACGGCCGCTCAACCTAATCGAATGTTATCCGGCACAAACCCGGGATAAAATGACCACAAAGCATTTCGTATGACAGAGGCTGCAACGCACGTGTATGATCGCAGAACTTCCGCCGCGAATGTGGGCGTATTTGCATGAATTCGGGAAAAACATGAAAAACAAACATTTTCCTGAGGCAAAAAACGCGTAACTGCTCAATTTACAACGATTTCCAATGTCGAAAATGCGTAACTTCACAGATACGTGTTTTTGACACAGTAATGTCGCTGACCGTAGGTGACGAAACCGCGTATATAAACGGATGCGTGTTTATGACCCGGAAAACGGAGCATAGTGAAACAATTGAGGCTCGCGTCTCACAGATGCGTGTCAGTTACTCGTTTCTGTCTTTGGAAAACCTTACAAGCACTGCTTATACGCGAGTCTACGAACCTTAAATCCGTTTTAATTTCTTTAAACAATGAATATACACTTTTCACTTGGTCAAAATGTGTGACTCGTCGAGACGAACCCAGTGATACCAATAACTCTATTTCGATAAAAATGTTAGTTACGCGCTTTTGACGTTGGAGGGCAGATCTGGGGCAACGATCGCCCGCTCCATGCAAGTTAACCTACTGGGAAACATTCTCCTTTCACGGCAGCTTCATTCAAAAAACATCCCACTTTAATCTGCCTAGGCTGGTAAGCACTCTACATAAACGTAGCTCTGGCCATTCCAATTCTAAATTATATTCCCCGTTCCCTCTCAAACTGGAGGACTTTGGCACTGATATTCACGTAGTACTTCATCCGAGCTGTCATCTTTCGGGCTTCTTCAAAATCTTTGGCAGCGAATGCAGTGGCGATCGAGCTGGAAGACATAAGTCATGGTGTCAGACAGCCTGACCTTAGCATGTTCAAGGGTGTGGAAGTATTGCTGATAACTATGCATGGTACACATCATGAATGGAGTACAACTGGGCTCAGGGTTTTCCAAGCATTCTTGAATTATGTACCCAGATGCTTGTGGTGCCTGATCATGACTCATATCACATCTTTTTCTTAGCCATTCACTCTTAACATTGCAAAATTTCTCCAAATGTTTTGTCTCACTCTTGGCTAAACATGAGGAGAGAATCTCACAGTGGTACTGGTATTACATTACAGAATGATGACAACAAAATACATTCAGAAACATTAGGAAAGTCCTCACATATATGAGCACTGCAAAGGCTAGCAATCATTTAGGGAGGGAATGGAAATAATGTTCTTTGCACATTTTAATTGGATCGTGTTGATGCCCTGTGAGGTGGTACTGTGACCTTGGTACCTCACTCATGCTGATCATTGACCACATGCATAATTTTCCCATCAGAAGGCTTACTTCACTAACAAAAAGTATTACCAAGACAACAGCAACTCATTGGAGGAAAAAAACACCTACAGCAAGACTAAACACCTGATAGTTTACATGCTCACATAAACATTTTTTGACAGGCAAATTTCTATAAGAGACTTGTTCTCTAGATACACCATGGAAGCACCCATGAAATGTCTGTGGGCACAAGTATTTAGAGCTTATAGATCTTTTCCGCACACAGCTTGTCTGGGATACATACCTTCTTAGATGCCCTAACATTGCCTCATTCTCAGCCTTCAAGATGCTCATCTTGTCATGTGATGAGATGTCTGCTAACTTTTCATTGATTTCCATGATTTCCATCAAAAACTCTGGATCAACATCCATCTGGGGATGAGATATTGGATACACACTGGTAAAAGATTTGGCCTACAGGAAGTGGACCAACCAATAGCAAAAGGAATGCATGAAGGACCCATACCATTTGGTCATTAAGTTTGTAGGTAGCTCATAAAGCCTTGAACTTTCTGAGCCTGGTTACCTGGTGGACAGTAAGTAAATTACATACCCTCCAATGACCAATAAATATGAAGGCAGTGATAGCTAATGATGGCCACTGAGCTATGACTATGTTAGGGAAAATATGCACAGATTAAAATAAAAATAACAGCTTGCGCACTCAACTGTTCCTTCTTCCAGAGGAAACCCAGACAGCTTCAAGAGGTGCAAGCTCCTTCTCAATGGATCTTTCAGCGTTCTGTATGCCCGGTTGATGACTGATGATTCCTTGGCAGCCATAGCCTGCTCAGTCTGCATTCACAGCAAAACAGTCAGCCTGTTTTTGGAAGGTGCTGCCAACATCCATCAAGACACAAAACCATAAAATGTTCATTCTTATTATTATATTGTGATTACTGAGCATCATCTCTTATCCTGACAGCAAAAAATTATACAATGAAATACAGGAAACGTCCAATACCTGCCATCTAGACTGTCAAACCTACATGTTGAGTATGAACTGTCTGTACCCTCACTACTGAGGTTAAATGACTGGTGCAGCAAGACACAAACAATTTAAGCAGCTTGACAAACAACCATGTATTGACTGAAGCTTAATGGGAACAAACAAAAAAGACAACAGCAAAATGCTGATGAAATCAGGCTTAAACATTGGCTACAAATGCCAGCAATAGCTTTGACCATTTCCTGCTTATCCCCCATATCAGTCCAAACTGTAATTATTTAGGTCCATGTATGTGCATCTATATATAACATCCTATTGTTAGTTGTCATACTAAGCACTGGGATTCACCTATGAGTCAGCAACAAACCTCAGTTTTGCTTGCATATTTATCTGGATGCCATTGTCTTTGAAGAGAACGAAACTTGCTGCTCAGTTCGGAGGTATCCACATCGAACTTTGTCTCAAGTGAAAACACTTTAAAGTAGTTTTCAGACTGATCCGACTCATCTGTCCCGAAAACATTCGACGTTTGCAAGCACCGGCGATGTTGACAAGCTACCGCAGGCAGCGGTTCCACCACCTGAACTCGAGAAACTTTCAGGACGGAATAAGTAAGAAATCTAAGCATTGCTGTTGAGTGGATACACGAAATGATGCACACCCGTCCGAGAAACAATAGGAAATCGAATCGCGGCGCCAATCCCGAGAAGCACCGCCCGCCTCCAACCCCATCCGTGACCTCCAGCGCTTCGCCCGCTGCCAGGCAACGCACGGCCATCAAGTTTGCACCAGATTCAGATTCATATTGCTATCGATATTCGCGGACCACTTCAATCCTCTTGGAAATTTACACTCATATAAACCTTAACTTTGGGATTCTTCTGGTGAATTTTCTAGGTGGCAGGCCCAAAGACAAAATAATTATAGCAGGTCAAAGATTTCAAGGTAAAAAATTAGACTTTTCTGATTCCCCTCAAAGTTAGCACATTAAGTAAGCTTAATTTACCCATCATCCTCCTAGATTTTCTACGTCGCAGATTAAAAAACAAAAGAGTTGCGGCATGTTAAATATGTCAAGGCCAAAAAATGGACCACTTGAGTTTGCACCAAAATTGGTGAACAGATAGAGCATTATTTTCTTATTATTCTGTTAAAATTTTAAGCGACAGCCTGAAAAACAAAGGGTCTATAGCACAACCAAAGATCAAGGTAAAAAATCGGACTACTTGGATGTGCTCCAAAAAGAGTACACTGACAAGCCTCATCTTCCTGATTATTTTGGTGGAATTGCTAACCTGCAGCTACAAAAGCCAAGGAGTTAGAGCAGGTCAAATAAGTCGAGGCAAAAAAAAAACAGACCTCTTGAATCAATACCAAAATCAATCAAAATCTTCTGACAATTCTGGTAAAATTTTCAGGTGGTACCTTTAAATGCACCGGAAGCATGTAAAAAGAGCATACCCAACTAAAAGCACAAATATCGTGGCAGCTTTAAACCCATGCATAATATTTGTTCAGCAGTCATCCGAACGTGGCGAAACAGTTAAACCAATGCATCATTTACACGCCTCGTTGTACAATATCCGTGGGCCGACCACATCAGATGGCAAATCGAAATGCAGTCATTTTTCCTTCAACTGAAGCAGGGCAATACGAGGACGTTGACGTTGTTACTGTGCGGCTTAAGACATGTGGTCATGACAGAAGTTGCCAAAGAGAGGCACCACCCAGCACTTTCGACTCGCGCTCTTCATTTGCCACCATAGACGGATTTAGACAAGGGGTAACAAATTGCCTTAGCGTATTGTGACAACCACCTCCCCTTAACACCCGCCCGGTGGCCGGTTGACTACCCTTCGCTCAGGTGTGTGTAGGGGAGGGGGGTCAACGTGACCCCCTCTCAGATCTCGCAAGCTAAGAGTGCTATACATACTGAATTCACAGCGTGTGTTAGCCTGTACGGGAACTCAATTGGGTCCAAATTTTGGGTTCCTACGGCATGACCCTCGAGTCAAATGAGGTCAAACAAGGTAAAACTCCGAACAGGTGTCCAAAGTGTTCTCAGACATGCAACCGCCCTGAGCTCAAACACAGCTGATCTAAGCATAACGTCACTGATGCTCATTTAATGGCAGTGACCTGTCTTGGCCGTTATCAGATCTTGACCAGTCATACAGGACTGTCTTGATTTTTGCTCTTGAACGGACGTCAGCATTGAGCTTGGCGGTATGCCCCAAAACATTTGAAACGAAACCTTTGAATTTAACTATCGATTTTTGCAGACAGGTTTTACAGACCTGGTTCTGTGCAGACAGGTTTTATGTTTGCCATAATCTACGTTCGCGCAGCCTGGCTCGCCTTTCTCACCTTTGCCGTCACGTGGTCCTACGCCACCCATGGCACGTGACAGCAGTCTCAGGTCAGGCCAGCTTGTAGGCCACATCGGCAATCTTGATGCCCCTACTTAGGCTAGCTTCCTTAGACGTTGGTCTGTTCGTCACACGCGACTCTAGGTCGATGGAATTTTCGATTTAATTGTTGTGCTGCCTAAGAAACTATTTTCGAGATGCATGGCTTCGTCTAACACTCCGTTTTCTACCAGATGAACGGTTCCATACAGATCGCCTTTGCCGACTGCATGGCCCGGCTTCAGCCTGCCACAGGTCAGCGATCTTGCAAAGTACATCTACGTTTCTGACACCAAAACACCCGTTATTCAATCGTCAATAGCTATGCAAAGTTTGGGAGGAGTGCGGCGGGAGGAGTGCAGACAGTCCCAATGAAGATAGTGAGGGGGGGGGGGGCGGTCGCACGACCTCACAAAATGGGTCAGGACCGAGCAGTGAAAACGAATGAAAATCGACCTAACATTTCCTCAAAATACGCCAGCAGATTTCTCCCTAGACTTGACTCACTTCCTTCCAAAAGTTATGATAGAAGGGGGGTGGGTGGCTGAAGCCCCTCTCAACTGATTGTGAAACTACGTTATATATATATATATATATATATATATATATATATATATATATATATGGGGTCACGAAGTCACACGTGGGGTCACGAGGCTTGACGTCAACTACACCGCCGCGCCCCGCGGAATCAATAATCCCGCCAATTCCATAAGTTATGTTCACGCGGTCAGACTCGCCGTTCTCACCTTTGCTGTAACGTGCTTCTACGCCACCCACGGCACGTCAGAGCAGTTTCAGGTCAGCCCAGCTTGTAGGCCACACCGGCAATTTTAACGCCCCTGCTCAGGTTACCCGGATAGTATGTGATGTTTTAGTTGCGAACCGTCATTGTAACCCAGCCTTTTTCTCTCATTGACCTCACGTGTAGTCTTGCGGCAGGGCCCTCTGTAACAGCATTGGTTTTGAACATCCCCGGCTCAAGCCCCCCCCCCCCCTCCCGGTACCCCCCGAGGCTTAGCACTTCGCATTCAAAGTTCAGCACACGCATCCCAAGGTGGCCATGGTATTAAGAATACAAGAATAAAAGGCTACGGAGACGTGACATCATTATGGGACTAAAGTTTCGTAGCCCGTAGTATGACTTTTGGCTGATATTACAAGAAAGTTGGTATGTACTAGGAGAGTGATTTACAACGAAGATTTCACCAATGAACTGGGTGACAGCCCTCTTCTACATCCTTGTTTCGATAATATGTGAACAGGTATTATACATGTTGCTCTGCAAATCTTCTTAACACAAATCAACACTAGGATCTGCTCCCAAAAAATGAGTCCCACTTAACCAGATTTTCTCAACACGTCCTCAGGCCTAGCTAGAACCCATTCTTGCTAAGAGGAGAACCGTGGCTAACATCGATTCGTGCTAAAACTGGCGGAGTTTAGCACGCATAGGTACTAAATAACGCAGGTAGGTAGCTCAAGGCTCAACACCGGAAATGAGGCTAATTAGAGGTGAACGTCGTAAATCTCTGTTCGTTCTATGGGGGTGCAAAACCTGCACCATTTTGGCATCCCATTTCCCATTTGATTGCGAGTTTCTTCTAGGACGCAGTCGGTCGGTTGGTGCTTAGTGAAGAGCACGGGCAAGCGGCTAGGAAACGTGCCCGGAGAAACACTTGCACCAAATTTACAGAACAGCATTTTCTACCGGATGAGTGTGGTATTGATATATCCTGGAGTACAGGCGTTGAGGTATATCGTCTTGCGGGTGGTGCGAATGATGGAATATGGTCATTGGACTGTAGTGGTCTGTATTAGACATGGGTTTGGCAAAATTTATTGAGTTAGCCAAAGAATGGCCCACAGGGTTTGGTATCTGATTCAGCTCATGACTTATTCCTGTTCTATTTTTCATTTGACTTAGTTCAAATGCAATGCTTGCACTGAATCATCTGACTCATAACCTATGTAGGTTGTAAAAGTGAATAGTTCTCAGCTGAGATTTGGGAGATTCCAGGATCAGCAGCACGGTGTTTGCTGCTTAGGAAGAACAACAAACTCATGATGTCGTAAAAAGCATTGGGATTTATGTTGCATGGTGTTCATTTTAACTCAGACATGGTATGTTAATATACTTGGAATAAAAAGCATATCCTCATGCTGCCAATTAAGTTTCGCCATATGGCTCATTGATGCAACATTGCTAGAAATGATTGGCTTATGAATCAACTCATGAAATGTGTGGCAAGTATGATTCAGGTCATGACTCAAAGCAGCATTTTTCCTTGTGAACAAATACAGCGTATGACTTAATCCCAAAACAATCAACTCATGAGCTGGTTCACAATTCACCTAGCATCAAACACGCATCTGGTTAGCATGTGCACATATGTGCGTTGAAGTGTTGCATTTGAGTGGATGGTTACCTGGTTGTGGTGACCCATATTAGGCAAAAGGCATTATTTTTGCATGTTGAATGCGTTGGAAAATTTCTGTGCATCTTGGCTGAATGGCCTGTGGTCAACTAAGGCAGAATCGTGAATCCGTTCATGAGTCAATTGTTTCGGAGGGAGTTATGTGCTGCGTCTGCTCGCAGGAAAACTGTTGTTTTGCCTCATGACCTGACTCCCATTTGTTATATATTTCATTAGCTGAATTATAAACTAATGATTTCGAACCGTGTTGCATCAGTTATTCGCGTTTAGTTTTTATTATCCTTTCCATATTTGTATATATTTTTACAAATTTGTGTGCAGATTTTTCTAACATGAGCACAGAATTCTTACAGAAATTTCTAAACAGTCAAACCAATGCTATTTATCCAGAAGGTTACTGAATATTAGCTACAAACCAGAGGATGTATATATATATATATATATATACATAGGTGCCGCTGAATTGGGTTATGCCCAGAGGTGGATACAAATATTGCAACGTAGGGATGAGTGGAGAAAGCTGCAACTTGCATCGCAACTCTGTTGGTTACAGAAAATGACTGCATCGTGTATTCCCAAGATCTTCCTTTCTCCCCGAAATCGAGGTGCCTTGCAGCGGTGCTTTTGTGGTCGTCAGATATGTAATATGTAAAAGCTTGTATGTAGTCAGCTTAAATAGTCCATGAAGTTTAAGGAAAAGGGGGAAGTTTGTCCCACCTTTGGGCATTCGCAAGGACGCCACGGAAGTTGTCTGATAACTGATAGAGGCTGTTTGGACCCTCAGTTTTAGATGGAGACCTGGCTCGTCAAAATTGGTACCCATATAATCCGATTTGTATGGAAAATAGTGAAAACTGAACGTGTAAATGTGATTGTTGCTACAGTGATTATCGTCGCAGTTTTTTCTTTCTTTTTCGTTCCGTCACTTACGTCACCGTAAAATCATGCATATTCCACAAACTCAGTTCGCTCAAAAGTACATGATCGGTACTTTTGGGTTTGGGTAAACATCTGCACTGATGTACAGTGCCCGATGTGATTCGATGACCGATACCCTCAGCGCAACATCATGGCTGACCGCGAAACGCGCTAATGTTTACTCTCCGAAGCATATGTTAGAGTGCTCCACATTTCCGGGGGGGGGGGGGGGTTGAACTAAGATAACCATGTTAAAGATCAATCTGTGCAGCTCACAGCCCCGCCCATGTTAAGACATAAACCCCTCTAGTTTCTGAACTACATGCCCGCAAATATGAGGAGCCTTTTTCAGGTAGAGTATTTCAATATCACCTTGGCATTCGTGACGTCATACTAAGGTCACTCAAGCCCTGCCACTCCATTTGCCGTGCGGTGATTCAGGCCAAAAATGATATAATGGTAGAGTCGT